TAAAAAAGCGAAAATAAAAGTTGTAGAAAAAAATATCCAATTTTAACGGTCATTTGCAGCAATGAACTGAGTTTAATTCCTAATTATTTATTAACTTTGGCTGGAAATTTTCGCAGCCTGAGAATAATATTTAATCGTTCATCGTTCGTATATTAGTTCATAATAGGAAAATTTTATGCCTGAGGCAAAAACTCCTAAATGAAATTTTAACGCTCTTCATGCGAAAGATACGAGCACATAATGTATTTAGATTACGTTAGGTTTTACTGACTGACTGTCACGCCTTTCATAGATCTGTTTGTTTTTTATATGAAGCCAGATCGAGGATCGGTTTAGTTCTAGGTTTAGCAGAACGTCATTGCTTTTTTTGCGAGGTTTCTACTTCTAATTTTGATACTACTTATAATCCTTTAAACTACGAAGCTCAAGCGTCTCACTCATTCCTTCTTCCCTGCACCACCTGCATGCGTCTTCGTTACTGATGCTTTTCATCGTCCTAAAATCCTTTCGAGATCGCGTGTGCAAAAATATGCGTGGTTTCCTTCGATACTCATACACATGATCTTAGCGCTCCTGCATTCCATCTCACACTAATCCAGCTGTCAGTCTTCTGGAAATTTTATTATGAATCACTATTAGCGATTTGCGTATTTCCTTTACTGGTATGTTGTAGAGCAGCAACAAAATTCTCAAATCACTAGCTGGCAGATGGAAAATGGGTCAGAAGACTGTACTGAGGATCGTAACTAGAACCCTTCTGGCGTCACCTGTGCACCATATAAGGACCATAATACTATGCTGTGTAAGCAATTTCTGCTAGGGGTCTGCTGTACGAATCCTATTCAGCAAATGACGACTTATCGCCATTCAGGTAGAGTTCATCCACATCATTATAAATTCTCATCCCGTCGATCCAAAGTTTTCAACACAAATGATCTTAGGAACGGAGCTATACACTGCTAAATCTGTCAAATATTTGAGACTTATTAAGGAGAGGAAATTAAGCTGGTCACAGTACTCGGAGAAAAGCATGTCGTCTACACTTTCAAAAGTGCGATAGGCCGGATATGAGGCATGACGCCTAAGATAGTCCGTTGCTTTATACAGCAGTTGTTATGGCTATACTATATGAAGTTGAAGTTTGGAAGCCAATACTCGAGAAAAAAAATCAAACATCTCAAAATTTCATATAGTGGAGAGGTCACCCCTTCTGTATTTTAACGGAACACTACGCATCACACCCATTTATTAAAATTGTGGAGCTTTATAATGCTGCTTGCGCCGCAGTAAGGTGCCCATTTTCATATATTTTCGAATCGCTAGACAGGAAGAGTACTGGAACGTGTAAGGTTGAAATCAAAAGTTCTCTTTTAAGGTTATATGAACGCCTGGAATGGATGATATGAAATGGCGAAATGAAAGAGAAAATTTTGGAGCTGTTATGCAATTGCCCTATTCTAAGCACACGTAGAAGTAGACTATGAATTATTGGATAGTATTTGTCGTGGCAGCCGTAGTAGCCGAGTGGTTAGCATTGTGTACTGATATTCGGAAAGCCCGGGTTCAAATCCTGATGCGACCAACATCCAAAAGTTATAGAAAATTAAGTTAAATTTTCTAATTACGGTTGTCCCTCGGCAGTTAATGTCAGCTCCTCCGAATGTATTTCGGACGTGAAATAAAGCTCCTCATAAAAAACCATCAGGCGTTCGGAGTCGACTTAGTATAAACTGTAAATCCCTCCATTTGTTGGAAAAAACATCAAGAAGCAAAATCCACAAATTGGAGGAGAAGCTCGGTCGAAAAACGCTTCAGAGGTTACAAAGCGCCAATTATATATAATATATATTGAAGAAGCTAATGTAACCGATCTATTAAAGCTCAACAGGGGGGACAGTTGAAAGCGAAATCTAGAGCTGTAACGTCAGAACAATAGTCGTAGTATATCGGAAGACCTGTTCCGCAACCATTTCAACCGAAACTTCCTTTTACCCCAATGAAAATGTCAACGGGTATTTTCAGTTGCCTGTATTAAAATTTCTGTAAGAACAGGTAAAAATAAATGAAATTTAATTTACTATATTCCCAGGGTAAATCTTCACAAAAAAAACTAACCTTCAACTTTTATCAAAATCAGCTTCAATCATTATTATTTTTTTTTTTTTAGTCATATCTGTTTATTTTATTACATTGTGTGTATATATATATTTGTATATCACTACTCAACTCTAATCATAATCACTATCATTTATGGCGTCCTTGTCAGCAATACTTATCTCGTATTAATCAGTGGGTGGTTTCACCAATTTTTGTTTTGTGAAATATGCTCTTTTTTAGATTAGATATGGCGATGTTGAGCGTAAGGTTATCACTTTTGCAATCAAAAGCTTCTGTGTCCCATTCCATAACGCACAGAGAACTTTTTGAAAAGGAAAAAATAGAAAACAGAAAACCTTTGCACTTTATCAACTAATTTTGGAAATTTTTTTTTTTATTTCGAAATTTTCATAGAAGAATAAGTTTCACATAATTTTGAAAAATTTTCAAATTGAATTAATTTTGATGTTTACGAAGTAAAAATATAATAGATAAAAGGGTAGAAAAAACTAATTCGGTTCGTTTTTAGGTTCAAAAAAGTGTTTTTTTTTTTTTTTTTTTTTGTAAAAAAGTGAAAAGCCATGAAGCCATCTCCGGTTGTCGACTCAAATATGCGTCCCCTCTATTCTCGGTCCAAAAACTCTTCGATATACCCGAACCGGTGACTTCCAAATCGTTTTACCACTGTCGATTAAGGCAATAATTGGAATGAACAATATATGCAGTAAGACATCCAGCCACGTGGGGCCGAACATTGCCGAGTTGCAATATCACCTTGTCATGTCTTTTGGACGTTTCTGGCCTTTTTTAGTCGAAAAAGTTTCGTATCAACCGTTTCACCTGGTGTGGCAACTCATAATACACCAAAACCTATATTTCTATAGCGTCGATGTAGGCGCTGATGGAACGAATTCACCAGTCTTGGCTTAGTTTTTTCTTTTTTTTGGGTCTTCTCTAGTCACGATCCGGTGCCTTTGATGTCTTTTCAGAAAGAATTCCGAGTTGTAAATTTGCCTTATGCCATCCAATTTTTTTTGCTTTTCAATAAATTCAAATTGCTTTAACCAAACGAAAATTGTTAGCTGAGTCACTCTCAACGATTCAGTAAAGCCTTCAATTCCTCATCTTCAAACCTTTAAGTTTCACCAGAACGCTCTTACCACTTTTAAAGCGTCGAAACCACACCCTGCATGACTTGTCGAACAGCGCAGATGCGCCCGAAACTTCTACAAGCATCAATACTTCCTTAGGCTCTTAAAAAATTCAGTAAAAAATAGAAAATATAACAAAAAAGCTTTTCACCAACTGAATTTTGGAAAACTTTTGAAAATTTTTTAAGTTGAAATAATTAAATGTTAACTAATAATAATTATAGTTTTAATAACTATTTACGTTAAACAAAATTTAAATTTATATATATCATTAATTCATCAATCTCATGAATACTGAATTTTTGTGTATTTTTTAAATTTACGGTATTTCTTATTATCTCAACTGTAAAAGTGTCTTTAAATTTATTACTTGGTGAAACGCGAATTAAATTTAAAAAAAAATTGTTTTATTAATGAATGTATGAAAATGTATTTAAAAAAAAATTTAATTAATAAAATTAAATTAATTAAAATTAAATAATAATTTATTTATTTTTTTTTTTGTTAACCGTTAAGATCGTTCACAATTAATTGCCGTTGATTTTTTGTACGCGCATTTTTTAATGTTATTTCTTTAATATTGTATTACATATATTTATATTTTTTATTTTGATTATCTTCTATTTTTTTTATATTAAGCTTTTTTACAAGCAATTTTTCATAATTTTTTATACTAAAAATTTAATATTAAATTCGAAATGAAACAAAACTTAAAATTTTTATTATATTTAAGGGCATCAAACTAAAGGTAAAATTTGCATTTTTACTTTTTAAATATTATTTTTATATATGTTCAATGATTTTATGACCTTATGAATTGAAGTAAAATATTTACATTTTCAATCATTTTTAATATTATATAATATAATGATACATTTTACAACAAATACATAAATCACTACTTCGTTTCGATAATAATAAGCAGTTAAAGCTGCATCGCTGTTTTATTTTTATTTATTTATTATATTTTTTTTTTGCACGCTTAATTTTTTTCTTAACCTTATAATTTTTCCATTTTTTTATTTTTTTTTTTTTTTTTTATATATTTTTATTATTTTTTATTTGCTTCACTAACAATTTTTGATTTCGTAATTACATTCGCTCATGTGCAGCAGCATTTCACGATTTTTTTTCTGTTTTTCTATTATTATTTAATATTTTTTGCACAGTTTTCCCCCAAAAGAAGAATTCACATAACATTAACTTTTCCAGCTACTGCCAATTGCATGTTTGCATATAACTATGATATGTATGTATGCATATTTATGCACAAACACATTTGCGCTTTTTAATGCGCCAAATATTTAACAACAACTGCGTACACACGAATGAAAAAAAAATGTTGTTGCTTTATTGTTATTATTGTTGGCGGTAAACATTCCACAACAATGGACATCAATTCACACCCACAAAGAAGTTATTCGCGTTGAACGCGCCTTAAATGCTATGAGCAGGTATGCTTCTATACATACATGCATAAATAAGCATAATAGTATGTATGTAATTTCACATATAAAGGTATGCATGATTTATTTTATGCTTTTGCCTATAACAGTATAAGTGCAGCCTATTTTCACTATTTCATTTATATTACATATTTATTTATGCATGTGTATGCATTTGTTTGTTTGTGTATATGTGTGTATGTGTATAATTAAGTGGGCTGCATTTGCATTGATATTTATTTATGTACATACATACATATGTATTTCTATTTATTATATTGTATAAACAATACGAATATTTATTTACCTTCCGGTGAATTAAATCACTTTTCCCAAATAAACTCACAGTTATTCTTTTGTTGTTATTGCAGTTGTTGCACTATTTTCCACGTATAAATATGTACATAAATACGCTCTATGCACTTTGCGACTGTTATTATTGTTATCATTATTATTATTATTTTATACAAAAATCATCTGCATAATTTCATTTACTGTTGTTGTTTTTCTCTTTTTTTTTATATTTTTCTCCAACTCAAAACTGTAACACAACTGAATTGAGTAGAATTCAATATACCGCTGCAGACCCACAGAGCCAGAGGGCGCTCTTTTTTGCTTCAATTTTTTTTTTTTTTTTTTTTTTCTGTTTATTTGAAAACCACTTGTAAATATGTTTATATCACCGTGTGTATGAGACGAAGTACGACACGAAATGTATGTATGTATGTATCTGCGTGTATGTGTGGGTATGTATGGTGGTAAAGTTGGTATGAAAAAGGTCACTTGTTGATACAACCGCCGACGTATCGACTTTCCACGTCCGCTATTGTCGCTGATTCGTTAAAAACTAAACTAAATTCTTTAACTGTATGACTGTTTGGCTCTCGTGTTAACTGTGGTGAAATTGCACACAGTTGAATAACAATGTAAATCGCATTTAGTTGAAGTTGAGCTCACCAGGTGAGTGTGGACGAAACGTGTGAGAGTGGAAAAGCTACGCTGCTCACCTGTTGTACGTACGTATGTATGTGTACAGCTGGAGCGTAATGTAGCGGTATGCTAGCCATTCGATGTGGGAGTAATGGATCTCTAGAGCGGCGGTAGTTGCGAGATAAACTTTTTGCTTGAATTTTGATAGATATGCAACTAAATTGCTTGGTAGCCCTTTAATAGTACAGTGTTTACGAAAAGTTTGCATACTATGCATTTAGCGTATCTACTGTTACGCCATTACAGACAGCAGTATCAACAAATGCACGGCAGTCGTTTCTTCTCTTCGCCTTTCGGTACTAATTGGAGGCATTAAACGCAGTCCAGTCCTACTACACTTGAACTTCTCAATTGAGTAGACAACTACCTTTTTATCTGTTTCCAACGGTGTATACGGCATCGAAAACATTCAAAGGATGGCCTGACCTAGCTCAGCTCAATGTCTAATTGCGATCGCCCCTCGGCAAGGTCTGTCAACCGCTCCGAGTGTATTTCTGACATGAAAAAAGTTCATCATAAAAATCCACCGGCCTTTTGAAAGCGCTTTGAGATGCACCGTAAGTTCCTTCAATTTGTTGCGAAAACATCAAGACGCTTGCCCCAAATCGAGGGAGGAGCTCGGCCGAATATCGCTTCAGCAAATACAAAGCGCCAATAATAAACATACGAGGAGTGACAATTAAGTAAAGAGACTGATTCCATAAAAACCGTATATTTCAAAATTATTCCACAACTCTGCCGTCCCCTTGGGCAACAATACAGCGATTCCAGCGCGTTTTCCATGCTTCGTAACATTTCTGAAGCGCTTCGACTGGGGAGTACCCTCGTCACTGCCGACTAGATGTCCTCAATCAACTCAAAATTAGTTCCTTTGACCACCAAGTGACATATCGAGCGAATCAGACGGCTGTTGCAACACGACGAGGCCAAATACTGGGACACGCTGAGGACGGTGTGGCAAGGCGCATTGTCGTGATGAAGGATCCAGTTACGAGCGAGTACTTGGCGATAGTTGACTTGATTTACGGTGGAAGAAGTTCTTTGCGGACGATTCCTCGACTACCAAAAAAAGGCAATAATCTTCGTTTTTACCTTGGACTTGTCAAGCGAGCCTTTTTTTGGGGCGGGGACGTGCGAAGATAACCATTGTTAGCTTTGGCCTTTGGTTCCCAGGTCGTATTGAAACTTTGGCGGACGTTTCTGAAGCTGTTTCGCCCAGTTTGGCCCAAAACTTTAACGTCACGCGTGGCTTCGTTGATTTCGTTTTTCCATTTTCGTGACGAGCACCATGAACACACGTTTACTTAACACAACACAGCAGGCGAACTAAACAAGCTAGTGCGATGGCAAATATATTAATGGAGAGGAGAAGGATGGCAGAAGAAGGAAAAAGGGAATTTCAAGCTCGCAGTTTTACCACAATCGAAGCAATATACTCCGTCTCATCACTTCGCTTATAATATAATATTTATGTTTGTTCAAAAACAGCTGGTTCATTTAGGACAACCGTGTCGCAGTGGAGAGAAAACAAGTCGCCTATCTCGCAACCTTACGATCGACCACAACACGTGTGGAGTGGGATAGATACAGCGGACTGAAGAGGGAATCAATACGCATCTGCAGACAAAAAAAGAAAGAGGCTGAGATTTGTGAGTATGAAGATCATGAGAAGTTGATGGTAATGCGAGGACTTACAGAATGTTTCAAGACCGCAGCTCTTATAGGACACAAAGAGGGGATCTAGTAAATGATGCTCAAAGTATACTGAATTAAAGAAGGTAACACTTCTCCAGCCTGCCGAATAGCAGGGAAAGTGTAGCACCAGGAGTTGGCGAACGCGACTCCACAACCGATGACGATGGAACAAATGTTTCATTCCCCGATTATGAAAAAGTTTGAATTGCAATCGTCCGCTTAAAAAACAACAAATTAGCGGAGGACGATGGATGGCCGGTGGAGCTATTCAAATACGGCGGAGAAGAATTAATATGTTGGAACTTCTTTGCAAAATGCGATGAAGATTACAAAAGGGCGATGACAATTGCCGTGGAATAAGCCTCATTAACAGCGCATATAAGGTCCTATCGAGCATATTTTGGACCTTGTGACTTTAGACCTGTCGAATCGACCATGAACTAGACATTCTTCATGAACCAAATCTTGGAAAAGACCCGTGAAAAGAAGATCGACACACAATATCTGTTCATCGATTTTAAAGCAGACTTCGACAGAGCGAAAAGGAGCTGACTCTACCCCGCTACGTCTGAATTTGGTAAACTAACGTTAAGCAACACCAAAAACTGCGTAAGGATCGGCAAGGACCTCTTCGAGCCGTTCTATGCAAAACGAGGTTTCAGACAGGGTGATTCCTTATCGTGTGATTTCTTCAATTTATTGCTAAATAAAATAATAAAAGCTGCAGGGCTCAATAGAGGAGGTTCAATATTTTATAAGAGGGAACAGCTGCTGGTGTAAGCCGATGACATTGACATTATTAACTTCAACAACCGCGCAGTGTGTTCTGCTTTATACAGACTGGATAAGGAAGTTAAGGATTCGAGTTTGGTAGTGAACGAGGGCAAGAAAAATTATATTCTGTCATCAAACAAACAGTCGTCGCATTCGTGACTCTGCTCACACATCACTATTGACTTTGAAGTCGAACATAACTTCGTCTTTCTTAAAACCAGTAACAACAATGTCAGCCTGGAAATCCAGCTGAATCACTCTTGCCAACAGATGCTACTCTGGACTGAATGGCCAGTTAAAAATTAAATTCTTCTCTCGACGAACGAAGACCAAACTCTTCAGGTCCCCCATCGACCCCATCCCGCTATGCGGCACGATGACCATGCGGGTTAGGGGTTCAAGAATTTACCCGCGGTAAGGCATGCTTGCCGTAAGAAGCGACTAAAATCCAATAGTTAACGCGTCTTTATACCGGAACGACCTGGATTTTTATCCGACCAAGTACTATCTAACTCTCGCAACATTCCCCAAAAAGTATTTTCGGGAATATTTTCGTGGTGTTTTCTAGAAAAAGGTTTTTACGTATAATTGATGGTCCTCTACAAGCTAGAAACGGCGAATACCTCAGTCGATAGAACAATGAGTTCCGTCTAAAGCCGAAGAAGGTGCGTGTGTGTGTAAACCAGAAGCTGGGTACCAAGCGGTATTCCAGGGTGTTGTTAAAGAGATCTCCCTGAAGAATTCACTAGTGAATTACTCTGGTAGGACTTAGCCTTGGATGCCGTGAGGTGCTCGACAGAGGACATTCTAGCTGAATGGTTGCGATCGAAAAGTCCTAAGCAGACTGACTCCGGTAAATGCGTTTTAATTACACGATTGCTGAGTAATAGCGAAGTGGTATGTCTGCCGATTGTATGACACTGCATTAAAAAGATTTCAGCTTATTTTTCAGTGTTCATATGCCGCATTGTATGAAGTTAGTGCTCGTATCTCCTATGTGGCACTCTGGGGCCTACAGACCTTGAAGGCAATGTAGCTGTTGTACTGAATGAGCCCAACTCTGTGTTAGGAAAGGGGAATTCGAGTTTTGGCTTACCAAACTTAAGCCATTTTGGGGGTTCCTCGATTCATTGCTACAATATAGATATAGATGCAAACATCTTTCCCCCAATGGCTTGGTTTTTGGGGGACATGCAGGACATACGTTGAGTAGATCGGGATCAAGTCTTAATAGGTAGCAATCTCGAGCTCTTCGTCTGCAATAGGTGGTGGTTTGAGAGAGAGTTGCCGAGAACGCCATTCACTGGAAGAGATTTCATAAAAATGTTGACGGACTAACGGTGAATGACGTTTAAAACCTATTGGTAAGCCGTCCTGTTCAGCGGTTGTTGTAAATGTAAATGTTGCGTGCAGCCCTCAAAGTCGAGTACTTCCTTTCTGATGTGCCTTGGTGGTGGTTCGGCATCTAGTAAATGTTTATTGGGGTGCTCTTTACGGTAGCAGAGCTGTAGAAGTGCTGCGCTGGCGACGTCAGAAGGTTTACTGTCACGGTTCGGGCATGCTCCATCCGATCATATTCTTCAAACAAGCTAATATTTGGAACATATTAATTCCTCACCGTCGTGTTTAAATAACTCGGTCGGCAATCCATTGTCCCAGCTGTGTTCTTTTTCCTGGCGAGAAATTCAAACTTCTTCAACGGGCAACTAAACATCTGTTACATCGTCATCGATTGGAGAATTGGATACTCCCGCTCTTGATATTCCATTTTAACTGTCATTCAGCAGACTGTAGAAGTGTGCTCCGGCCTCGAAACCCCTCTGCAAGTTGAGTCGTCGCATCAAGCTTTTCATGTTTATCCATCAATTGCAGGTTTATTTCAGCCTGCGCCTTTAGCAGCCGATCGCAACGTTGCGAGGTAGGCAGCCTGTTTTCTCTCCACTGCAGAATTCTCCGAATGCCGATTCCTACTTGTGCAGCTGTACGTGGGAAACTTCAAATGCTATCCCATATTTCCTTTATAAAGAGATGCTGAAGATGATGCTCTCACAGAGCAGGAGCGCAAGTCGAGTCGAAAACTGTTTGTCTGTCTGTCGAGATTACAGCTTTTCGACGTGGAACCTTGCTTGTGTTTGTTTTGATGGCCTTATTTTTTTTGCTGCACAGGAAAAGAAAAGGATTTTCCCAAACAAATAAAAAAAAAAACATTTTGTTTTTTTTTAGAAAAAGGACTTTTTGTTTTTATTGAATCAATATATATCGTTTTATAAAAGCCGTTACAGCTTACAACATTACACAAATAACTGTATTGTGCGGAGGCAATTTGTATTTCATGTATTCTATTATTCATGTATGCAGGTTTGTGTATGTTTGTATGTATTATATGTATCATATGTATGCATGTATTTATGTAAATCAATTAATTCATAAATATTCGAACAAATGCTTTACAATTTCTCTTGACTTATAATATTATTCTTGTATATTCTTTCTTTTACCGTAATACATTTTAAATAATTTGCGAAATGCTTTTAATTTTCTTCTCACTTCATCTATTGTATGTACGTGTGTATGTATGTATGTATGTTTATATGTAAATTGCCTGTTTGCTTCATTGCGCATATCTAATTAAAATTTTAATTTGTTTTTTTTTTAATTCATTTCACTTTGTTATTGCATTTTTTTATTTTTATTTTTATTGTTTTTTTTTTTGCTAAATTTATTTAATTTTTTTTTTACATTTTGTCTTGCATAAAAATTAAAAAAAAAACAACTCACATTGCTGTTGTTACTACAGTTTATGCTGCTGTTAGGCCAACACGCACACACACTTATATGTGTATGTATGTATGTCATATGTAATGGCTTAACGTGCATTTTTATGTGCAGCATAGTTTTCACATTATTATTATTATTTTTATTTTGTTTTTGTTTTTTTTGTGTTTTTTTTTTTTTTTTTTTTTTTTTTTGTTTTAAAAAGTCAGTCAGAATTATTTTCGAGTAAATTCTACAATATATATATGTATATATTTTTATTCATTTATTAGGCATTATAGCGTTATAAAAGTGAAATGAGTACAAGCAAAAACAAAAAATCACGGCAAAACGTAAGGCGAAATTTAGAAAAGCTTACGTTAAACGTTCGTTTGCCTTCGTTTTTGGGAGTTTCGTGTGAAATGTTTAAATGAAAAAATTTATGAAAAATGTAATAAATTCGCAATCGCTACGCTTTTTACGTTTATTTAATCGTTTTAAACTTTTTATGCATATATGAGTGTACGTACATATAATATATGTTTGTCTTAAATGTTTTCGCTTCTGAATTTCTAAATATTATATATGATGTTACTATGCATTTACAAAACTTCATATTGTATTTCGTTTAAATTATATATGTATATATTTTCACATACATATACATTTATATGTATGAATACATAAACTCAATTATACAGTTTAGGGATTTATATATTTTAGCAATTTTTATTGTTGTTATATATATACTCATAGACGTTTTTGCCTAAATATCCTGACTTATAATTTATTATTATTATTTTTTATTTTTTTATTCTTTTTTTTTTTGCATTGGAGCTTAAACAATTCATTGCTGCTCAGTGTATGCGTATACATACTTAGCCGGAGCGTTCAGTGTATTTTAACTCGATATTCGTATAGTTTTACACCCAACAATTTTTTGTAAAATTCGACTAAAAGCACAAAGCTTTTTTTTTTTGATATTTGAATTTTAACGGGAATTTTTTTCTACACAACATTTGGTTTCAAAAAATGAGCTGTTAACTTATTTTATTACACTTTATAGTATTACTGTAATTTTTTAATTAAGCTATTGTTTTTTCTTTAAAAAAATATAATAATAATAAGAAAATATTGACGTTACTGCTAAAAAAAATTTATTTCAATAATAAATGAGTATTAGAAGCTTCATTATTTTTCTAAATTAAAATGCTTTGAATTTCGATTGAGTAGAATTTACGTTCGGATGCTGAACTGAGCGCAGTTCAAAGGCAAGTAATTATTTATTAACCTAACTCCGTTAAATAAAGTGAAAATTATATTTAATATTTGAAAAACAATAAAAATCAAACGAATATTTCTAAGTTGAAGAGTAATTTCAACAGCTCCATTCTCACTTCTTTCCTTTTTTTGAATTCTTATAATATTAATTTTTCATTTCCTTATTGATTTTTTTTTAACACTTCAACTATTTGTTCACCAAATTCTGTTACAAAAACCTATAAATTTGAACTAAAATATGACAAAAAATAATAACGCATATTCAAAAGCGAATTTAAGTATTTATTTTTAACAAAAAGTTAGCATATATTAAATTTAAATTGAATTTTATAAAGAAATTCCAAACATTAAGGCTTTTCAAACGATGATTTTTTTAGACATTTTTCAAAATTTAATGTTATTATTAAGCACATATATTTTATATATTAAGCAGTAGTACATTTTATGTAATAACAATTTTATATAAAGCATAAAACATCCGCATGATATTATTATAGGCGGTAGATTCTAGATGGATTCTTGTGGTGTGGATTTTTCAATGAGTACATACAGAATTTAAGAATTTATTTGCTGTGACTTGGCAACACAGCTTTGTTGCAGAATACAATATTAGGCAAGAATACTTTTGTGGGTTGTGGGTTATCACCTACTGAGACGCTTCAAATGCTGTATGTTGTATTTGTTTTACATTAAATACACTGTGTATACATATGTACACATACACTGCGCAGCAATGACTCGACACAAGCCAATTTTATTGTATTTCCTTTTTTTGAAATTTCTAAAAAAAAATTGTGCATATATCTTATAGTAGTTATGTATTGTAGTTGGGTGTATATATGTGTGTATTTAAGTTTTATAAATGAAATATGTTATTGTATTAATTGCTGTTTTTCTTTTTTTTTTGTGAATTCAACATTTTTTTTTTTTTGCATTATTTGCAATTGAATATGATTATTAAACTTAAAAAATATATATGTGTATGTATGTATATTTAAAAAACCTTTTAATAACCTTTCAATAGCAAAATATTGTATACAACAGTTTTGGATTTGTTATTGTTTCAAGTTGTTATGCATTATTTCAATTTTGTTTTGCGTTTGTTTTTAATTATATATTGTATGTATGTCTGTCTGTAAGCGCTCTTCATCTGCAACTAAGCTATATGTACGAGTAGGTACCATTTTTTGCTAACAGCAAACACTTGAAGCTTTCTAAGACATTTTTCTACGCTTTTAAAATTTTTTTTTTTTTTCTATTTTATTTGTCCAATATCGTTAAATATTTTCAGACGTTTTTGATTTAATTGTTTTCTTGTTATTTTTCAATAAATTTTTTAATTTTTTCTTAATATCATATTAAGGAAATATGCTGTTATTATGTATGTATGTATGTATGTAAAATTCTCGCACGTCGGTCAGAGAAAGAGCTACACATCTAAAGCCTTTTAAACACATCTTTTGTTATCGTTAAGTGTACTTACAGCAATCTTTATTTTTATATAATTTACTCTTTTTTTCTTTACTCACATCCTACCACATTTACATATTTCTTACAGCTTTACGTTACATAACTTTTGTTGCAGACGCATTGTTAATGAACGTATGATAATTATAATTAAATGATAATTTGCATATGAGCAGAACTAATAATTAATTAATTAATTAATTATAATATCGTTTTAGTAATTATATTATTCATATATGTATTTATGTATGTATTTATATACTCCTGTATAGGTAATAAAAAATGTATGTATGATGTCGTATGTCATTGTAGGCGACAACTACTGAGCACGTGGTTAACTACGCATTGCTTTTGTTTGAATTAGTCGATACATAAGAACAATCAATAATGACGCTTCGAGTTGGTGGTGGTAGCCTGTGATTGCTGTGATTGCCGTTTGTTATGACGAAAATTACAATGTTTTGTGGTCAACTTAAGGTAAAGTAAGGTAGGAAATTGTTGTGTGATGATTGGGTTTGGGTTGCTGGTTTATTTTATTTTTTTTTTTTGGTGTTCGTGTAGTGGATTACGGTAATCACGTTGCATTTGAATTTGCGTTTACGGTTGTGGTGCTTGTATTGGATGGTTGGTGCTTGATGGTGGTTGATGTTGGTTGATGGCTGTAAGCTTTTTGTGGTAAGGTTACTAATACGCAATTTTATTTCGCTATATAATATTACTAGGGTGTGGGAGGATATTGGAGGTGGTGTAACATTTCGCTTTCATTCTACTTTAAATTCCAAGACTGCAATTAAAGAAACAAAAACAAGTAAGAAATGAGAAAATGCATTAAGATTATTTGATTTCTTAAAATTCTTGTTAACTTTACTATGTTATATATATTATAAATACTAAAATATGCATATACAAAAATTTGCTAAATATTATACAATACTATATACGTACATTAAAATATGATTAAAAAGCAACACACAGCAATGTACACACACTGTACAAATAGAGGCGTGAGGATTTTGTAGTGTGGCGTAGATATATATTTTAATGAAAACTTGAGCTATTGGATATGTTCAGAGCTATTATCATACGCAAATAATTTTCATAAAAATAAATGGCACTCGCCTGGGTTTTATTGTGTGTTCTGCGTTTACCTACTCTATGCGTCAATTTCTAACTAAAATTATGTATATTTTTATACCTATTTTAATTGCAACTTTTTTACGAAGGCATACATTTTTCCTGCTACCAACAGCGGAATGTGTCGATTTCTTTAATAAATCATGAACATTTTTGTTTTGCAAAAATCAGTTTGAGCTAATTTTTTTGAGATCATTTTTGAAAACTTTTACTACATTTGACTCTGATTTGTCATTTTGAACACGAATATCTATTTTACAGTTTATATATCGAGGAAAAAATTACTTCGAATTGCTTAAAAAATGCTTAAATGTTTTTTTTTTTTTTTGTTTTTAGTTTTATCAGTTTAAAATAACTTTACTGTTTGATTTTAAATGCATTGGATACTAAAAACGCTTGCACATAAATGCAGCTGAAATTCAAGCAAACACTATATTAAAATATAAACTATAGTACCGCATGCATATAGGGTTAGTTGATATTATGTTATTTATCATTTATTTATAATACATATAGAAAATATAAGTTTACCAAATCAAGAATAAAATTTGTTTTATTTTATATAATATTCAAAAGCGGAATTTAAGCGTGCTCATCAAATAAAATAAGTGAAAATTTTAAAAATTACCAGATTTCACATATATATCTACTAGTACAGTAAGTATTGATGATATATACTCTTATTACATAAAAGTTGGTATGTGATTTATAAGCAATTATTTTAAACAAAAGTAACTACGCAGACGTTGTATAATTATTTCTGCCTCTATAAACCTATTCGCATAGTTTTTCTTTATTAAAGCCTTAAGTAAATATATATATATATATATATTTTGTTCTGCCTTAAGCTATTTTCCTATGTAAGAAGTAAATACTGTTATTTACCTACAGGTTACTCATTTGAGGAAAAAATTCATTTTCCATAATGCTGCGTATATGTATTTTGTAGTACTAAGGATATATTGTATATTTATGTATAAATTGGCATGCCCTATAAATGGCGCTCGCCTGGGTTTTATTGTGCGTTCTACGTTCACCTACGTCACATGCGTCAGTTTATTTTAAAACTAAAATTTTGCCTACTAAAAGTGCCTCTATAAATTAGTAAAATTGGCAAGTTATTTGTTATATAAATATGTAAATTCCTTTGTAAGAGATTTTCTGAAAACGTACTGTTAAATAAAGCAATTTGTTGTTTAAGTGTATTTGAAAGCAATATCAGCGATTTTTTGAATTTCTCTTACTAAGCCATTTTAACCTTTTTTATTTAATATCGAATTGGGATTGTTCTCTTCTTTAAATTATTGTTATTATTATTATTGTTTATGTATTTAATTATTTATTATTTTTTTATTTTGATTGCCTCGTATTGTTAGCGCTTCCCATACTTATTGATTGAAAGCCCACTGTGTCGAAAAAATAATTGCTTGATCTTGCTTTGTTGTTTTATATGGCTTTTAGCAAAACGAAAGACATATTCGCTCACCGTTTCATCGGTGGGGAACTAATTTTGGTGGCTTCAAACGTATTGAATTATTTAAATACAATTTTTTAGTTTTTTTTCGCAAGAAATTCAACGATTTTCAGTCCACTGCTAAGGCTACATTTAATGTGGTATATTTATGATTACTTTAGAAATGTACTATAATTTTTTTTTTTAGTAAATATGTGGATTCATATTGTATAAACTATTTGAGATTTTTTTTTTAATTATTCTAGTTCAAAGCGGCTTTAACGTTGCCTAAAATCTATTATGCATTTTACAAGTATACCAATACCTTGCTAATAATATGTACGTTTATAAAATATAAAATTTACTCCGTATATATAAGTATATACGACTGCAGTGTTGTAGTATTAGTTAGAATGCTAAAAAAAATCCTTACATTCTAGAACCTTTTTGCTGAAGCACTTTAGCACGATCATTAAGTTCTAATTCACGACCCGCTGAGGAACCGCATTCCTTTGAGACCACGCATAAAAATTCATTATTTTCGAATGGTCCGTAATTTGTGTACTGCATGCCAACGCTAATTAATTGTTCGAAACGCCAACCATCCGATAACGTTGAGATCATCTATTAACGTACAAAATGTTTTTCATTAAACTACTCGTATACAAACGTTGTCAAATACTTTATATAAAACTAAATTCACCTGAGTTAATTCCTGCTCACGACACTGTAACACACGATATACACGTTTTTTATCGGCTTGTGGTCGCTGCGTAAATAGTAAATATAAAATATCAAATTAGTAAACATCAATCAATCCTGTGTAGCATTTAATAAAATCCACCTGATCTCTGTGGGTTATGCACTCCTTTAGCAATGTTATTAATTGCGTCACATTGTAAAATTCGGCCTCCTCCAAAACGCCTTCCTCAGAAACGCCATCCAAAACGAGCTTACCATGTCGCAAGTAATTCAGCACCGGTGCAAAATACTTGGGATCTCTATCAATTAGGTAGGCGCCTGTTTCATCCTGCAAAACAATATATATCCAATAAACAAATATGTATACAAAAATGGAGGTAAAGGATATAGCACTGTTGCAGTTAATTATATATATATGTATATGTACATGTGCAAGTGCGTAGCAAAGCCCCACAACTTAGTGTAATCAAAATAATTATTTGAGCTTATTTCGTATGGCTTTGAACTGAATAGTAAATTAGGGCAGATTTATGTATGCAGCTACAAACACACTAAGCCACCCTCGTTTATTTTATGCCCTCCAAATAGTAATCTGCATTAACACATACCCATGCACATAGTCTATAAAACGCAGGTAGCGTGCAATATTTTTATTGCTCGATTGAAAGATATCCACATCCAATTTAAAAAAAAAATGTAGTTCTTTCTTTTTTCGTGCTTAAATGTGTAGATTTTCATTTACTTACCCGATCTGATATTAAATCACAATCCTCTTGTATTAGGCGTGATAGAAAGGAATTTGGGTCACGGGAGAGCGTCGTCTTTGTTGTTAGGAAATATGTGCCACCCACATTGAGTTTTACCCACTGGTCTGTCCCCTGCTTTTTCAGCATTGGACTCTTCCGCGAGTTAATGTTTATTGTTGTCATAACTATATCACTCTTTAAAGGTATTGAGTTTAAAAAATGTTCTTTGTTCCTTTTACTCCCCCTTTCAAGGTTCTCCAATTTTCAAACTGCAAGAGGAAGGTTATAAACAGTCGTTAAACAAATAAATGGTTAGAATGAATTTAAAAAACCTTACGTATATGTTTATGCACCTGGGAAATTCTTAGTAATTATTGTAAACTACTCACTTCCTTATGAGGATTCGTTTATCCCGCTGTATTCGTTACAATGCACCAGCAAAGCTACTGTGCTTGGAATAGTATGTATAGGTAATAATTAACCTTCAGCAGTTATGGAATGTTTCCCAATTTCTTTAAACGGATTTCTGCCCGGACAAAGGTGCAATTAATATGCTGCACTTGGTTGCAATTTCCTTAAATTCTTTTATTAATCCAGCAATTAGCATCTACTTTTGCTATGCAATTTCATATACTCCTCATCATTATCTTTCACTTTCCTTTATAATATTTACCTTTTATCTTATAAATATTTCACAATCAATCTTTGTAATCAATTCCGCCATAAAATAATTTATATCTTTTTTAATTTGCTAATAATACAGATTACATTCCTATTCACCACTCTTCTTTCAATACTCGCCCGATTATCTTCTTTTTTCACTGAAAACTGTTTTCATTTCTTACCATTCATCATTCGTATGCAAACTTATAGTTGTCTCGCTCTCTCATATCCTCAGCAGTGTTGCAAAGAGAATTCACAGGAAGAAGTAAATCCTAAGCGATAAAGCGGCGATAACCTTTATTTATAAGTAATAATAATTGAATTAATGCAGTAATAAAGAATATAAGCTTTCAGTTTCATAGCTTCGTTTTCTTACTCACTTTTTATTTTTATTTGGAGTTCTTAAAAATGAAGAGCTTATTATTTTTAACTATATCTGGCAACATTTCTCAATTCACATACACACTGGGAACAGCCACCCGGCGAAATTCACTTATCAATTATAAATCGAAAGGTAAGCACGTAGCAGAAAAATAAAATTATTTCTCCCCAAAATATAAGTAATTCATGTTTAAAAACACATGATTAATAATTAATATTCATTGAATTATTTGTATTTTCAGTTTCACTCGCAATCAAAGTAAAGAATCAATAAAAATGGCCAGCCAAGAGGTAAATATGCAATTGTACACATTTTCACTTGCTAAGGGTAAAAGGGTGCGGCTAGTAATTGCCCTTTCGAAACAGACTAGTATTTGACAAACCTTTGACCTTATCATCTTTTTTCTCGCAGGAATTTGATAAAGCCGCCGAGAATGTAAAGAATTTAAATTCAACACCATCTGATAATGATTTATTGGAATTATACAGCTTATATAAACAAGCCACAGTAGGAGATTGTAATACAGGTAAAAAAGCAATTAATTGTATATACTTTGAAACGTGTGTGTATGTGCAATTAGTGTTCATTTTACGCTTATCTATCGTAAATTCATGGTAATACGCTTTTGATTAAATTATAGCAGTATTTTGATTTTAATCTGATGACATTTATTTATTAGTCTTTCCTGCATTGACAATCATATATCATTTATAATTTCATCATAATTATATACTTATGAAAAACATTTTTTGACATATCTATAATCGAACATATAATTCCAAATAATCTTAGTTGCTTCTATTTAATTTTACAGAAAAGCCCGGTTTCTTGGATTTCAAAGGCAAGGCCAAATGGGAAGCATGGAATAACCGCAAAGGCACAACACAAGAGGCAGCGAAAAATTCCTATGTGGAAAAAGTTAAGTCTTTGGTTGAAGCTCATGGACTAAAAGCTTAATGATATAAACTCCCAATGATGTTATACAATTGAAATTAATAACCAAAAATGCTATTGAATAGCAGTTTAAACTTTTACCAACAATATATAATATTTGCTACATTTGAATTTTGCAAAAAATACGAACACTCATAAGTAAAAAAGCCGTCTACATTCAAACGCACTTTAATGCACAATTTTTCTATAGTTTATTAACATGAAAGTAGTAATCTTTATAAACTTTTGTATATTTTAATATAAAAAAATATATGGACAACTTAGAACAACAATTTGCGGCGATGTGTATCATTTCATAGTCATATTTGTAGTTTTATATTATATCTCAGAATTTGTCCGAAGAGGAATAAACCTAGTTAATTTCCTTTGAATTAGTGATTAATTAATCTCATGATTATGAAGAAAATGCAACGGTCAAATATTTTAGTAACCACAAAACTTGCATGTATATGTACCGCAGTTAACGCGTTACACTTCAAGCGTAACCACCGAATTGCCAACATTATTAAGAAGCATTATGTAACATTTTAATGCAAAAAGCAGAATTTTTCATTCGTCTTTCAAATGGGCGCCCAATATATATGCCTTTTATCAGCATACACGCAGAATTGTGACAATTGCACATTTATTCTGTGTAAATAGTTTTTAGTTTACTCCTCAAATGGATTGCCTCTTCCGGTCTCCGGATTATATTCTCTAGATGTTCGCTGACGTTCGTAGAATTCTCTTTGCAATTCTCGCAAATTCAATTCAAGCGTTTCAACTACTTCGAAATTCATTTCCTGTCGTGCTTGTTTAATATATCCCTTTATGATATTGATTTGTTCTATAAGCGGATCTTCACTTTGTGATACATTTACTGGATGAGCTGACCAATTATCTATTGAACGCAAGTCGGACTAAAATGAGAATTAATTATTAATTGCATGTAAATATTTATGATATAAGAAAAATTTACCCCATAAGCATAATCGCTGTCATTGCTGAATGTATTTTGAATACCACCCGCATTATTTGCTAATGCTTGTCTTTCATACGCTTCCATGGCGTGACGACGTTCAGTTTCGATACGTTGCTCCGCTTCCATGCGTTTACGATCCTGTATTTTGCGAATATCCTCTTCCGCAGGCAGTGGTGGTATCGACAACATTTTATCCTTTATTAGTTGAATGCATGACAGACGTATTGATTTTTTTAAGGCCTCCTCTCGACTACCTTGTTGACAAGTTATGGCTAATATACGTTTACTTCGCAAATCGATGGCTTCTGCTATTTGTCCTATTTTGCCTCTTAAAGCACTAGCGTCTGCTATTGTGAAAATTGACTCTCCCTCGTAGAGACTGTTCACAATTTTTAAATACATTTCTATATCCGGCATTACATCCTTTCGTAATTGCTGTATATCTGCATAAATTTGAGAGACAAGCGGACGGTATGTTCGGCTCTGGTGCATTTCTTGACGCGCCTCCAGAAGTCTCAGGCAATGGTCACAGCAACGTATGCTTTGGTGTTGTGGAGTTGAATTTTTAGCGTCAGCAGATGTTTGCTTACTAGCCTCGCTTTGTGACGTAGCCAAACTGGCCAGTTCAACTATAAGAAAATGACAAATTGTTAAAAAAATTTAACAATTACATACAAAGGAAATGATAACTACTTACGTGCCATATCTATTGAGAGGAACTTAGAGCAATCGTTACACATAATACTTCCGCATAACCGGCAGTGATGCTGACGACGTGCAATATGAAAATTCTTAGCACAACTGGGACATAGCTTTACTGAGCTTCCATCCAACCATGTAACAATCTGTAAAAAAAAAAACATATTTTTTTAATTTTTAGTATGACATATTGTGATATTTAGACTATTTACGTTTCGTTCATGTTGTTTACGAAGAACGGGATCCATTGGTAAATTTGTTAGTAACTTATGCAAGCGTATGATTAATTTATTCGTTTCACTGGCATATCGTTCTAGGCGAGGGTTGCGCACTGATTGAAAATACTCTAAATGATTACTTTCAGCTCCAACAGCTTGACGGTCCATAAAGTTAAAGACATTCATGCGACTCCTCGCGTTACTCTTTGCGCTGATATCCGAAACTGCCACAGACCCAGCATTGCCCGCCGCACCATTTCCACCAATAGCGCCGCCCGCAATACTTGCGTTTCTGTCAAAACTTCTCGATAGATCAAAGGTCTCATCAATATTCAGTATTTTGCTTTTCGCTTTCGAAATAATATCCTTAAAAACAGACTTGAGTGCATCTTGTTGTTCCGCATGAGACCTTTCGAAATGCACAGTCAAAAATTCAGCTGATTTAAGATCCTCTCTGCAAATAGGACACAGGAAACCCTCCAAAATTTCACAAGAATCGTCATCATCTGGTTCACCAAACGGATTGGACATGTTGCTAAGAATTATTCAATAATTTTTAATTTTTTTTTTATTAATTAGTGCACCACTTATAGAATAAACGAAACTTACACGAAAAAGTAAATAACAAATACTGATATGTGGGCGTTTTAATTGCAAATTCGGCAGCAACTCAGCTGTTTTGTTTATCGGAGAAATATCGATACTAACTAGGGCTCATAATCGATGATTAATATGTGACTCGTTGAAAAACACCTGGTTTGCTTTTAATAAATTTATTAATTTTTATAATAATTTTTAACGGAATTGCTGTGAAACATAAATTAATATTTTAACCAAGCAATCTGGTAATTTTAATCCACCTAACTGCCTGGTGCATACACAATTCCAATTAGGTTAGCAATTATTCCAATTGAACTTAATTTGTTAAATTTATACATCACTAATGAGAATTTATCAGTCAATCCAATTGTGAATTATAATTTTAGTCACGGACTTTCTTTTTCCTCTATTCGGATGGCTGATTAATTTTTATTCGTAATAAAAGCGTTTTTAATAAAATCTCTATTTATTTTAATGTTGTACTTTTACTTAGCTCGTTGGAGAACTTGTGACCCCTTTCGGCAATGTACAATAATCTAAATTTTCCTCAGTAAAAAAAGCAATAAAAATTTGTTATGTTGCTGTGGGAAAAACAACACTAGTGCGAATAATAAAGGTGGAGTATTTTGATGCATCAAGAGAGGCTGGTGGAGCAAAGTGTAAACTTGTGTGCGCTGCTACTTGAAGCAATAATAAAATATACCCATAATTTTTACGCACAAATATCAGTAATGGCACTGTAAATAGACGCCAAAATAAGGTATATTGGCCTTTTTGGGCACTGGCCACATCAGCGTTGAGGTAAATATTTAGCTTCTAATTTTGTTATACGTATTTACGTACATGTATATATACATATCTGAATTATTATTGTACATACCTATTATATATGAATGTATACAATGGCCTTTACTTGACGGTATTTTAGATTCACAAATACTTTTCAAGTGTATATAACGTTATACTTTTAAAAATCGTAAAAGAGCAAATTTGGAAATACAATTGTCACTAAAGTATTGATAAGAAATCCTTTCTGAGGCTACGTTGATATCTTAAGCCAATAACGACAAGCAGAACAACTGCGTTTCATTATCTTTAAGTTATACATAGAAACTAAATGAGCTGGCTACGAACTAGCCCGCTGCGGCAGAGTTTAACACGCAGCAGCGGAAACAGCGCATCGTTTCTTGCAATAACAAATGGAAGTAATGGTGCGAGTGGCAGCGGTACATCAGCAGCCTTCAAACAACGACCAATCGATGCAGCAACGGACTGTGATCCACGAGCTTGTTATGACAGCTTTTGTAAACATTGGCAACAGGCCTATGAGATCATACAACGTTCACAACCACCAGACCGACCACCGTCACATGATGATGTGCTGGGTGTTGTGTCGCATCTAGACTTTATGGTTACACTACTTTTAGTGGAACTACATCATTGTAACAAAGTAGCGCTACCAAGCACAGATGCCGCGCCGCCGCCAGCGCCATGTCTGGAATACTTACTCAGTGAAAACCTGCTGGATAAATTATATGAATGGGGCTGCACAACAGGGCGTTACGCCAATGCCGTACGTTTAGAACAATTAAAACTGTACGAATTACTAGTTAGCCACTCGCGACATCAACTACTTTGTCACGAGCCCTTTTTAAGACCGCTTTTGAAGATACTTGCATCAAGCCAAGGAGAGATCTTTCCACCAGATTTGGAAAAGCGTTTAGTTATACTGCTCAATCAACTGTGCGTCGTGTTAATGCAGAATGTGCATTTGCTTGATCTGTTTTTCTTCTCGTCGGCACGGGAGCAGCACAGTGGCACCAAGTAATTATATGATTTACACATTTGTTTTTCAAGCTATTATATAATTATTTTTCTCACAGCTTTATAATATTCTCGCTACTCATACCTTACGTTCATCGTGAGGGTAGCATTGGACATCAAGCAAGAGATGCCCTATTACTATGTATGTCACTGTCACAAAAGAATTCAAATGTTGGTACCTATATTGCACAGTATTCATCAATGTGCCCTCTTCTGGTGACTGGCCTGGGTGGTTTGTATTCGCGTCTGCCTAACTCCATCGAGATTACATCAATTGATTGGCATCGTATAACGCCTGATGACGTTACGGAAATACCAGAATTGACGTTATTTATGAATGCACTGGAGTTCTGCAATGCTGTGGTGCAGGTGGCGCACGAAATGATTAAAAGTCAATTGTTAGACTTTTTATATCAGGGCTTTATTGTGCCGGTATTGGGTCCGGCAATATTACAGGTAAGAAGAGCGGAATATTCTATACATTTGTGGAATTGTCTTCGATTTGTCTGTGGTGTTGGTTCATCAATATTTTTCCTTATTTTTTCTGTGTGTACTATTTATCTTAACATATATTTTTTTATTTATTTCAACTACTCGTCGACTCGATAATAAAATAATTGAATAAAAGCCGATGTAAATAAAGGGAGTTACATATGTATATATATATATATATAGCGAATAAGCATTTATGCACTTGTCAGTCGATAATTTGCGTTGTGTAAACTTAACAGCTTGACTCACAAATTGCATTTATTGGGCAATAAATATTAATAAAAGCGAACTATGATAATCGAAGTCCGATAGTTACATCAAAAAACTTGAAAAAAAAAACTATATATGGCCGTGTAGGAACCCCAGCATAGAAAATAAAAAGTAAAAATTATTAATTCTATTTTCTTAATTTTTGTATATTTCTTTTTAATTTTCCATTCCACTTTCATTGCTTGCTTTTACTATTTTATGATTTTTTTTTTATTTTGCTAATTTTTTTTTCTGTGATCCTTTCGTATATATTACACGTTTCCCACTTTAATCAACACCGTGCGAAAAATCGAAACAATTCATTACAATTTTTACAGACATTGAAAGGCAAACATTTCCAGACAAACGTTGAATCACAAATATCGGCAATGTCCTATTTGGATTTAATATTGAGGTCAGTAACTGAGCCCGGTTTGGTGCGAGCCTTTGTAAAATTTCTATTGGACACCGAAAAATTCGATGGCGAGCGTATATTGGACACATTAATCGATCGTTTAGCCTCCACAGATGCGAATTTGTGTATGGTAACAATGGCGCTGTTCGACACATTGATCTCTTTACACTGTGAAGACCTTATGTTGGAACTTCTACTAAAGTACATATTGCCGGGCAAGCATGTGCCTATTTCGCATCGGCACAAGATAAACAAAATCGATCCATATATAAATGCCGTCGAATTCTTTCTCGATCTTACCCCCGAAGTAATGAAACGCGCAAGAGAATTAACGAAGCACAAATCTATTGGTGATACTGTATCCACATTACCGCCACACACAAACCTGCCTTCACCCACATCGACAATGAGTAAAACAATTGGTGCCAATTGGAACTACTACGGTTTGCACACAGGCACCAGTCTATATGCCAACTTCCATGCGTACCTATTTGAAGCGCACTGCCGAATCACACAATGTAAGACAGCCTGTTCAAAATGGGCGAATACGTACAAATATCAAAAGTGGCCACCGAAGAATCTACGCGCTCAACAAGCGCATACACTGGAGATGGTGAAACAGTTTTTCAACGAATTCAGTTTAGGTACATTGACGGAAAATTTGCAAGCGTACGAAAGTGCAAATGCCACAATGAGCACAAGAAATGTAATGGAAAAAACACAACCCGATAGCTTACAGTCGATTGGTGAGTCCAGTGGGTATGAGTCTTTCAAGTGGCGGCCGGTCGATGAAGATGGCGGTGAGTGTAATGACTCTGCGGCAAATTCCACAATGCAAACTGTCAGCTCTACTGCAGGCGATGGTGAGTTGGATGCGAGTGGGAGTAGTAGCGGAAATGGCAATAGTTTGGGTGCAACGCAAAAGCATAATAGAAGGGAAATTTGGCGTGTATCAAGTAAAAATAGTGAATTGCTGTTAACAGACTTGGATTTTTCTGAGGATCTGTTCGCGCAAGGGACAGTTAGCTTAGGTGAGTTATAAAATAATAAAAAAAAAAATTATACTAATAATTTATGTATGTACATACATATTTTTCATATTTTACAGGTCCCTTCATGAGCGCAATTTGGGGTAAACTGCAAACGTTCACCAGCAATACATTATACGTAAATTTGCATCTTACCGGTTTGATAACGCGTCTCTCCTGCTACCCACTACCACTTGTGCACTCAATTCTACTGCGTCCAGATATAGTGATCACCTCGGATACCCCATCATTTCATCAAATGCTACGCATACTTAAACAACAAATCGATGCGGAATTACCCATGTGTGAAGATTCACTAGAAATTGTCGATGTCGCACGCTCTTATCTCATTGATCGTGAGTTTCGTTTAATAAACGCACGTAAGGTGGGTGACAATTCGCCTGTACATGTAGCGAAAAGTACGCTGCCAGTACAGCATCAGCAGCAGCAACGACTCGGCCAACAAACGGCATTCGCAAACATATCGTCCGCTTCGCCTGTGCAGGTGACGCCATCTTCATCGTATGATCCCTTCAAGCGTAATGATAATAAACGCAAAAGTATCAGCAAATCTATAACGAGTATGTTTAGTCGCAAAAACAGCGGTAAGTTATATACGCCCACATTATCCATTGTCTTTGCCACAGAAATGTAATACACATCACGAAGTTGTTCGCGTCTAAATTGAATTAATTAGCAGCGCATTTAACTTTTTGTTAGTGGGAATTTGAAATTAATTTTTTTATATTTTCACAATTTTTGTTTTTGGGTTATGGTTTGAGACTCATAATATGTTTGTTGTAATTTCATTTCATTTCATTTAATTTAAATTAAATAAAAAAAATTTAATTGCATTTGATTTTTAATATTAAATTAATCTTAACATACATACATATGTGCATATGTACTCGTTTGTTTCACCACGGTTTGGTGTTTTATTTATATATTTTAATTCATTTTTTTCTTTTTTACTTTATTTTATAATGTATTTTTACACACTTTTGAGTACAAAATTGTGGTTCTTCACAAAGTTGATTTTAAAATCGTGTCAAAAGTTTTCAAATACATAAGTGCGTACATATTTGTGAAGATCCTTGATTTTTATGTTTATCACTTTGATTTGTTTTGTTTTTATTTTATTTTATTCTATTTTATTCTTATAAAATTACCAGAATATTTAATGGTAAAATAGATACTTAATTTTTATTATTTCTTGTGTTTTCTAAACTCCTAGCTTCATCTGGCTTATCACAAATTTACGCATTCTTCACCGGTAAATATTTCACAAAAATGAAAATGATAGTATTTATCTATTCATACATAGTATGTTTTTATGTATATGTATGTACTATGTAATGTATGTTTGAAATGGTACTTTTTTTTCTTTTTGCTTCTTTATATGTATATATATAGTTGATTGGTTGTGTTAAATATTTATATTTTAATATAAAATTGTCGTTAGTCTTGTATAGTTAGACTTAACTGTAGTTTTAAATAATTAAATATTACAACGCAGCATTGAAACTGTTAGTGCAAATTCTTCATACAGTGGCGACCAAAGCTATTGACGTGGCTCTTGAACTGTTCTTAGTTCAAAGTTTGAGGTGCCATGAAAGTAAGGGTGATTTGAAAGAAGAAAGAAGAGCTGTCTGTGGATTAATTATCAATTCATTCCTTTTTTTTTAACAAAACGGCTGTATATATAAGACGATATATCATGTTGTTGTTGTTGGTGTGATTAATCTAAGTCGCCGAGGTCATCTAATGGAAAGTCCAGGAAACGAGCTGTTTCGACGGGGTTGTACTAAAGGGAGAGGCGGGTTAGATGAGCTGGTTTGAGTGGGCATGTAAAGAGGTGGTTATTGTCGTGCGAAGACTCTCCACATGCAGGGCATACGTTGGGTCTTCTGGGGTCTAGTCTGGATAAGTAGGAGTTTAACCTGCTACATAATCGAGACCTGAGTTGTATCACGGTACGATATGTCATGCTCTTAGATGCTTTACTGATGTATTTATAATCTAATTTCATGGGAGCTATATATTATAGATGTCCGATCTGGCCGATTACGATAAATGATTAAAACAATATAAAAATACATCCGCTCACCCTTGTTTGGTTGAAATATCTGAAAAACTGTGGACTAGTTTGCGTACAAACAGACGGACGTAACGGACCAAATCAACTCAGCTCGTCATTCTGATCTTTTCGGTAAACATTTTAATGGCTCTAACTCTTCTCTTCTGATACTTACGTACTTCGAACCAAAGTTAATATAAAATTTCATGTACATGAAAGCTGCAAATATTTACACTTTCGCCGTTGCGTCTTAATTTGTTTCGAATGGTTTAATGCCCGTAATAAATATATACATATCAAATTTATACATTTTTGGTTTGTGGTCCTTTATTAGACATACCACTACCCACTCGGCCACAGCTGCCAAATATATATATATATAATTTAATACATTATGGAAACATCCCACTAATGAATAAAAAAAAATTAAAAAGAATATCTTTCGTGGTTTGGGTAGTGAATTATTGATGCATGAGTAGTAACTAACAAGTAACCAACTAATAATAATATATTATGTAATATTTGATATTGCATGCTTAGTCATGGGCAACAGCCTAACTAAATTTCGCCTTAATAAAAAAATGTTAACAAGAGCTTAAAAAATTTTAAACGCAATTTTAATTGCTCCACTACTATTATTATGCTTTTATTTTGTTTTTGTAACCAAGTTGCCTTTTTCAATAATCTCTGACCTCCACGCTGCACCTGTACGCTTTGCATGCATGTAAAGCTTGTAAAGTTTCTTTTTTTGCACATTCGTATTTGTTTATGTAGATATCTAAGTGTGTATAACAAGAATTTCACACAACTCGATATATTCTAGGTGGCTCCACGTCATCACCGTTCTCTTCTGGCAGTGGCATCGGAGCAACAACGCAACAACAAAGCACGCGTGAAACAAGTTTAACAAATATGCCCGCCAATACAGCATCCGCTGAACAATCTAGTGCAGCCGCAACAACGCACAGTAGCCCAGCTCCGCCGTCCAGTTCATACGCTTCAAGCGGCACGCACAATACCACATACGCCCAGCACACCAATACTAGTGGTACAAATACACAGCTTGTAGCGAATAGTAGTGGCACCACATTGGGTGGCTCCGGTTCCGAACCTGTCTCATTGGACTCACTCTCATCCATGGGTGCTTTGGCTAATAGTAGCGGCACAGAACGCACCAGAGATTTGGCGCTATGTGCTGTACTACTCGACGAATGGCTAAAGGAATTAGCTGCGATTGCCCAAGAGCAAAGTGTAGTTTTGATTGGTGAAAATATTTGATGGTTGTGTAAACGGCGTCGCGATCGAAGTGGGGTATGTTGTTGACTGGAAGTATTTGTCCCTTCTAAATTTATATTTACAAAAATATATGAATGTAAATACGTATATACACACATACAATATTATAAGTAATCAAACGATTGTACGGTACGTATGTATAATAATAAAACTGTATCCTTAAGAAAAAAAATGCTGTAAATGGTTGAAAAGAGAACAAATGCCAATTAACAAATTATGATATATTACAAAAGAAAATTATACTAAATTAGTCGAAAAGCAATTTCCAGTTACATTGTACCTTAATTGTATAATTTATTATTATCTGTATCCCTATTTTATATATAAAAATACATATTAAAAATGATAAAAGGTAATTGTAAGTTTTAGCCACACAAACAATTTTTACACAAAAAGTTAATGATGCTTTCAAAAAGAATTGCTGAGATTCTCCGCTTGCGTAGATGCAAAGTATTTTATTTTTATATTCCACTATTTTAATACATATTTGTTATAATTTCGATTGAATATATTTAAAGTGCTTCTATTGCATAGCACCTCGATGTCAAGAAGATCAAAGAAATAGTATTTTTTATTTATTATTTTGTATTTTTATATAGAATAATAAATTTAGGCCCAAAAGAAAATTTATGATGACAAAAGCGAACAAAGCAGAAAGTGCCTCATGACTCCTCCGTGTGTACTTTTTCTACTCATGCTAAAAAACATTAAAAAAACAATAATAAATATGCTTATAAACAATGCTGAAGATGAAAAGTGTTTTCAACATAAAAATAATGTGGTATTTTTTGAAATCAATGCTTATACAAAGGAAATAAAAAAATAATAAGACATTTATATGTAATATAAAGAAATATTTATGTGTATTAGAAATGCACTTTATTGTAAATCCATACGAAATATGTAGTATCAACCTTACAATCCCAGAATTAAGCCAGATCTATGTAATACAGTTAATCATGATTTTACAGATTGTATATATATATATTATTACGTGAAAGCTAGATATTCTCGATTATTTTGAATATGCATGTAAAAAATGTTTAAAAAATTAATAAGATTACACCAATTTACTAATAAAATTCGAAATAAGCAAATAGTATGAACCCTGATCCAATATACAACAGGCTTTTTATTTTTATTTCAAATCAAAACATTTTGAGGTTAGTATTGCGTAGTTTCTTCGGTATGGCACCCAATGATGAGTCTGGTGTGCGACGTTCATTTTGCGCATGAAGCGATAGATCACTATCGGCGTTTGTATTTTGTTTGGAAACTCGAGCGATTGTTGTACTACAAGAAAAGCAAGTTAGTTAGTTAGCAATCAATTTTATTCGTATAACTCAATTAAAGTCCATGTTTGAATTATGTAACTTCAACTTATATAAAATTAAAAGAAAAAAACTCACCGCATTTTGTTTGCAGCATAAAAGGCGCCTTCTATAGTAGTTAACTTTTCCTTCAATTCCGTCTTCAAATAGTTTTGCACAACTAATTCATCGGCACTATTAGTATTTTCCTCTTTGTCTTGAAAGACGAAGTGTAAAACAGCAGTAGGCACGAAATCTAATTCCAACAACGTCTTGTCCAATGGTAAAATATATTTGGGTGGTATCGTAACTGCAAAAAAAAAAAGAAATTAAATCAATTTAAATTAATTATATTTTAATTATTTAATATATAACTTACATAAATGAAACATAGCTTGCTCATTATGCAAAAATTTACGCACAAAATCCATAACATCTGAAATTTTATGGATAGGCTTGAAGATACCCTGGAGAACAAACCGGTCGGGAAACTGTATTCGTATTACACAATTTTTATAGTGTGCTATTTTATTTAGCATGGTTTTTTGGCCTTCTAATTGACGTAGACGTTCGGTGAGTAATGGTGCATCTTCATCACCTCTGGAAGTTTTCTTTAAATCACGTAATACAAGCCTAAGATCCTCAACTGTTAAATCAAAAAATGAATCTGGCAATTCTTCAGCCTGTGTTTGCGTATCATCCAAAGAATAAAGTATAGCGTTTCTTTCGCCAATCTGAGGAATTTTTTAGATGAAACGCCATAAGTACTAGGTACATACATATATATATTGCCAATAAATTCACCAATCAATTACTTACAATAATTACTTCCGGTTCAATGTCCATTGCCGTTTCTTCAGCCTCTTCTTCTCCGTTTAAATTTTTTGCGACATCTTGCTTGTGCCTTGAACTTTGTATAGAATAACCCGTACCCGTACCCCAATCATATTTGGGCTTTTCCGGTTCGATTTCTTTACTATCTGTTGTAGTTGTTGTACTCACTACTGCTTCATCATTTTCAGCGTTAGTATTAGATGTCGATTTTTTAAGCGATTGTACTAAATCCTTCGTTATGGCAAATCCTCCACCCCCACTGTTTTTTGTTACATTTTGTTTCGGCTTTTCGTCCACTTCTTTGGGCTTTTCTTTCACAGTTGGTGGTATGTAGACATTAGCTTGTCTTATATAAACAAAATACCATTATTTTGAGAAAATTCTTATCAAAAAGATTATACACTCACGACTTCAAATCATCGGCTGTTTTATCTATAACTCTCACCATAGCTCTTCCTTCAAAAATACCTAATGACTTAAGTGTTGTCTCTGCCAATCGCTCCTTGCCAATAATTTCTTGACGCATATAAATTACTACAGGACTTGCATAACTTTTCAATGCATCAGAACTGAGCTGCTCTATTACTTGCCATAAACTACTGCTGGGTTTAAACTCTCCTTGAACACGAGATCCATCCTCCAATTGAACGCATATATTAACATTTGACTCAGTTCTTCTGCGTTCGGTCTTTGACATTTCTAATAAGCAATTGTTTGGAAGTCCACTGAATCGAAACAATTGGGTCAGGCCAACTTCCTTGTTGTGATGTTTCAAACAGTACTCATGGCTGTCCAATTCATGTTTCTGGCATACCTCCTCCAGAATCTACAATTTTATTTGTCAATTATCTCCTAGGATTTAAATATAAATGAAATTAACTTGCCTGAAGTATTGTTGTGTTTGGAGTGACTTTCACATTTTGCCTTCGATTACTTGGTGTCAGTACGGTAACTTTCCCTTCCATATTCTTCACTTCAAATATATCCACTCAATTTTACAAATCACGTCAAATTTCACCACCCGGCTTTCTAGAATTTGTAGTCAGACAAAAGCTGGAAATATAAAATATTTAAATGTCAGAGCACTTATATTGGAGTTTCTAAAATTTGTATAGTAATGTTGTTGTTTTGGTAAAAATACATCAAAACTGGCAGAAAGGAAAAATAAACCATTATCGACTAACAGCTGATCGTAGTGATGAGAAATTTCTTCAATTTATATACCCTATATAGATGAAATGAAATAACCGATCCTAGGGCTTTCCACATCAGGGAACTCAGTGTTCTCCACAAGAGAAAAAAGAGCGATTAGCTTATGAAAATATCAAAATATCCAGTGATTAAACCAAGCTTTGGGTTATTGTTTTATTTTTTTAAAAGTCAGATACGCTGCGATATATCCGTTGCAGCAAATTTAATCTGGATTATACTAAACACTGAATATCATCAAAGTCATGTGAAAAAAAATCATTTTAACCAAGCTGCGGTAAAATTTTCTGAAAACTCTAAAGACTAGTTATAACGTCTAACTAAACCATTTTAAGCATTGTTAGAAGAAGACTAGTTTTGGTTCGAGGAAGAACACAGGTGCGCTGAGAAAGAAGGAAATGTGAAAGTGTCCATGGTCCTCCCTTCCATCTTAATTTCGCAAAACTGTACATTGAATTTTAAAAAGTTAGAATTGCTAAAATGGCAAATACATTTTTTTTTGTTTTTTTTTTTATATGGTTGAAAAATTTTGAAAAATTCTGTGTGCAGAAAAAACTAAATTTGTTTTGGAAATACTGCAAATTAAACTACCAAAAATGTAAGGGTCATAAAAGTACGTTTAATTTGGTGTATAATTTATTATTTAAATAGATTATATTTTAAATTGCGCCATACTCGTATGAAGTGGCTTCGCATTCCACAGTGCTATTAAAAAACGTATGTATACTTATACAATATTATTCCAAGCTCGCTGGTGTCATTAAATGAAACATCTTGTTGAGTTGGAAGCCTTTGGTTACTTTAAGAAAGATTAATACGAGGCCGGACCAACGTCGACTTAACACTACGCTTTAAGGCACACCGGCTTTGCCTTGCTGTTGTTATTGTTGTTGTGGTAGCGGTTCGCTAGCCCCGCTTAGGCACAGGTTTGATCAGTTTAAGTCGCCGAGGTCATCTAATGGTAGGTCCGGGAAACGAGCTGTTTCGACGGTGTTGGAGAGGGGGGTTAGATGAGTTGGTTTGAGGGGCATGTGAAGAGAAGGTCAGTGTCGTGCGAAGACTCTCCACATGCAGTGCATACGTTGGGTATGCTGGCGTCTAGTCTAGGTAGACCTAAATTATGTAATGGTCACGCGGGTCTCTCGAGGCAGCTCGAGCTCGTTATCTGCTATTGCTTTGCCTTGCTCTGTACCTTAGCCTAAAATACTTTTGCGGGCTTCTAAATAATAGCACTAGGCGGACTGGGTATGAGTATGGGAATACTCGTTAACAACACAATTAAAACAAATATTTCTTTTCATTTAGAAGTAACTATCAAGTGTCAAATATCAAATTAAAAGTACTTTTTTACTCTTTTAGTAAATGTAGGTGGGTTTATAATTAATTTCATTTTTTCAATGATATCTAGTTTCAAAATTCATTTAAATTTTTTCGAATTACATCCTTTTTAAATAAAAACAGGGTGAAATGCATATAAATTTTTGAGAGCGAACTTCGCCAAATGTGGATAATTCAATCTTCTATCGGAAAAAAGAAACCCCGCCATTTTCACCATTTCCGTTACGAACATAACTATAACTTAATCGGAACGTAGCAAAAAATTTGTTTTCAAAATGCTCGGGTATGTCAATTAAGTTGTGAATAGCGATTAGCTCTTAACCGGAAGATGATTTGACAGCTGCAAATAGTAGAATAAGAAATAAAATTGTATTCCGGTGATAACTTCAAAATAACAGTATTTATGGAAAATTTGGAGCTCCCTGGTTGCATTTGTTCAGAGGCGTATTTATAAGGAACGCACCGTACACAAGTACAGAAATACATTTTTTGGGAAAGATGAAGGATAAGTTTTTGTTCGTAGTTTTCGTCTTGTCAAAAAATAACCTTAGAAGTCGTGCTGAAAATAAGGTGATTGAAGTAAATAAATATTGTTAATATATTTAATTTTGCAAGAATCAAACAACGGAAATTTAGCTTTTAGCCAGAACTTAGTGAAAACGAAAGTGTCACATCATCAGTCTATCTGGCTATCCGATTAAACGTTAAGTTAACCGTTGCTACTTGTATACCGAAAATTGAAAAATTAAGAATGATAAAAGCTAATTATGTTAAGCGGTTATTACAGTGTACGAAATTAACTTTAATGAAAATTATTTTATATATTTTATAAATATATATATTATATATAATATTATATTTTCTTTGCAATTTTTTAGTCCACTTCTTTAATCAAATATTTTTATTTTGTTCTTTGCCAGTGTCTACAAAAAAGTAAACCAGCGAAAAAGAGAACTGTCAAATGCTTGCGTGCCGAGTGAATGAGGTAATTCGAGATAGTAATTGAGAGCGATAAATGCTTTGGAAAAGCCACACGATCGAAAGATTTAATTTAAAGTAGACATTCAGTTCTTACCCGTATGCACATTGCTGTTGAAATTACAATCGATAAATCTTCCTCACCCTCAAGGTCATTTCTCATCATTAGATTTTTCAATAAACAACATTTACAAACTTTTCTAATTTCTCTTTTAAAACGAATAAAAATTTAAAGTGTTTAAAAAACTTATTGAAAAGCATCGATCAGCTATTCGCAGAATGGCCTGGCGATCCGTTGGTTCTGACAATGCTGATCTGATAAGAAAGATGAGAGGTAATTGAATTACCGAATTTGAATTCATAGTAAGTTGTACATACACATATATGTGTACTTGTTGCAGAATTTGGGATTATTGCCTCTGAAAGTGTGGCTCAAGCAATGATTAAAACTGATCGAAAGTATTATTCCCCACGAAACCCCTACATGGATGCACCACAATCAATTGGATATGGCGTCACAATATCAGCTCCTCATATGGTCAGTTGCACATAGCTTTTAGATAATATGTATTGTTTTTGGATGTGGTGTAACTTGTGTTGTTTTTTTTTCCAAAGCACGCATTCGCTTTAGAATATCTTCGTGACCATCTAAGTCCTGGTGCCCGTATTCTCGATGTTGGCAGTGGGTCAGGATATTTAACGGCTTGCTTTCTGCGATATATCGATGAAAAAGGAGACGATCCCAATACAAGAGTTGTAGGCATTGAGCACCAGCCAGAACTTGTACAGCAAAGTGTAAAAAATCTCAATACAGATGATCCGAAAATGCTAGATTCGGGAAAGCTTATTATTGTTGGTGAGTCTACAATTTTGTATATGTAAAGAAAATTAGTACATTTCTTTAAATTTTTCACAGAGGGTGATGGTCGTAAAGGTATGCCAGAACATGCTCCATATGATGCTATTCACGTAGGTGCTGCTGCAGCTGTGACACCAATTCCTCTTTTGGAGCAGTTGGCCAATGGAGGACGGTTGATTGTTCCTGTTGGACCGGAAGGTGGTGATCAATATATGACTCAATATGATAAAGATAGCGAGGGAAAAATTAAGGAAACACGTCTTATGGGTGTTATGTATGTGCCGTTAACAGATTTGCATCGATCTTGACGAGCATTAGCTATAAAAGTTGTCATCGTTTGGGTAATAGTGGGCTTGATCATGCTTAAAATTTTCATGAAGCTACCATCTGAAGACAGAGTTTAATTTATAGTATAGATAACTATGTTTATTTTAAACAGAAAACATTGTGAGAGGCTTAATTATTATTGCATGAAAAAATATTAAAAAAAAAATTATACGTTAATTCAGCTTAAAAATTCAATGTTTTATTGTTTGTGAAGGGTTCTGAAAATTCAGAATGAAGGGAATTCGGTCAATTGAATGTATAAACATATGTGTGAATGTGTGTCTGTGCTATTTACAAAATGCGGCTATTATAAAAATCTGATTGATGAGCTTAAATTTTCAAGAAAGATTTAATGCTTTTCAAATGCAAGTAGGTATGGATGCATTAAAAAATATATAATTGCCAGTTTAGACTGGGTATAAGGTTTACTGTTTAGTTGCTATTAGCAACCCTGATTTTTTTGTTCGAGTATGAGACAGCAGTGCAAAATCAAGTTAAGTCTAAAATTCAGTATTTGAGTTTAACATTACTATTGTACTGGCGTTTATTCTATTATTAAACAGTTTTATACACGACAAGTATTACAGGATAAAGCAAACAATTGGCAATTTGGTAGAAAAGGTTTAGGTGAAGATGTTACAATATTTTGAAAATAGTTAATCTCGGTCATTCAAAAATAGGATGCCGTCATAGAAACTTTTCTAAGAGCTTAATTCGGTTTGAATTGACTTAAGTTGTTTTATCTTATTGTCACAGTTATTCTTTTAAGTAAATCATATGCTTATACATATGTTAGTATGTACACACATAAACAGCTATCTTAAATTTTTTTATTCCAACTATTTTCATACTGACCGCCCACAAATTTTTGGGAAAAATAGATATGTCTACAACTGCAAGCAACTAGTCAATAATACGTAAGACAGAAATATAATTCTGAAATAATAGTTATCTATCTTCCTACTCTTTCAAGTAAAAGTTCGCGAAAAACCCGGCATGAAATTATCAAGACAAGAAGTTGAGAACAAATTTCAAATGTTACCATCATCAACCCAAGACCCTGGCATGGATGAAAGCCCTCAAGAGAGCCCACAGTTGCTGCTAAAAAAATTTTTGGAAGCATTTTGGAAATTATGTAAGTTGATTAATACTTATTCTCATTTGTTTGTAATTATGTACATTTTTACATTTCTAGGGGCACAGATGAAGTTGGTCGCTTCATTCATTATGACTGACCTCGGTGGTTATCAATTGCTTGATAATCTTTTGCAATGGAGTGTGAGAAATCCCCACACAGCCATTTGCATAGCAGCAGCATTCTTAGTTTTCCTTTTGCCGTTTTTAATAATGCTGGGTATTGGACTTTCAACTCTACTTATGACTCTCACGGGATTTCTGTTTTTAGAAGGTACATATGCGCATAAATACCAAAATACAACACGTTTTTATGTAAATTTGTTATATTTTTTAGGTGTTCTTCTAACTATGGTCGCAATGCTATTGAGTGGCTGTCTGGGAGCAATATTCTTAATGGTAGTTTTTTTGAAACAACTGAGACGAACAGGGTGAATTAATAAAAGATCTGTCAACACACAGACAAGAATAAATTTAAGATAAGTTAAAAAAATCAAATAAATAATATGAACTAATCCATATGGTTTGTAGAAATTTTAAAAATATTAAATGAATTATTGGCTACTTATCATTTCGTGAATGATTAAAACCAATTATCTCTAATAAGATATTGAATTAAAACTAAATGGTATAAATGAAAAGTGTTTAATTGGTTTCAACTGAATCTATGGAGTTTTTTTTTTTGATTAATGTAAAATTTATTGTTGCGATGCAACTTTGGTTTTTCTGGCTTTCGTCAGGACAGAAAAAAACACTTATTGCAAATTTTTTACTCAAAAATCATAATGATGGGTAGTATATATATATGTATGTATATGATGTAGAAATAGGATATTTTTTTTGAAGACTACACAAATATGTCTAAAACTTTTAAAATTTGCTTCATATTTTTTTTCGCAAAATAGTCGTTGTATATTGATTTTAATTTATCGCTTGCATAACAGTTATTTGGTTAACCGTTGTTTATTACTCGTAGAATAATAATTACGCGAAAAGTTTTACTTTTTTCTTAAGCAATAAAAGTTAAAAGTGAGCTTTTTTTTTGGCCTCAACAAATAATTCTCTCATAGTTATATTTTTCATAAAAGCATAACAGTAATGTGATGACTACTTTCGGATCACAAAATAAGAATTAAATTGTGAGCAACAGTTTTGTGCTCTTAGTAAAAAGTCCTAAGATGATTTTAATTTATCGCTAACTAAATATCAGTACCCTTTAGTATGTTTCACAAGGACCCATCTTCTCTAGAATCGAAGAAAGAAAACTGCTAATTTGAGCACGATTTCTGTTTGCTCACTGTTTAAGTGCGGTGAAGTTTCTTTCAGATTTGCGCTGTTAAATTCCTTTTCGCTGGCTTCGGTGCATAAAAAACCGGAACGAATTTACACTTGGCAAGCATTCCTTCTTCTCCGTCGCCTTTAAAGTCAAAATTTCAAAGTGACTCGAACATATTTCCGGGACCGATTATACCGCATTTGCACAAAGAACGTATGACTCCAGTCTTCTCTGATTCAAATACGGTATTTAACGTTAACAATTTTCCTTTATCGATGCGTATTTCTTATATAAAAATGCAACTCTGACTATTCAGCATTTTAACGAATGGAAACGAATATTCTGCAACGCATTCGTGTCGTTTACTTGTGAACTCGTCTTGTCTAAAAAGTTTTCTATTCTGTGAAAATTTGTTTTTCTATAATAAAAAGCACAGTAAATTACTTAAATAGTGTGAAAAAGGGTGTTTTAATATTAACTGAACGGTAAGTTTATAAAAGTAATGTAAAACTGTTCTATGTTGCGCGCTATATCTAATTGAAAGTTTGTGAATTCTTGAGATACTTTTAAGTGAAAAGTATCTGTATGAAAGGAGGTGTAACGAAGTTGGCACTTGTGTTGTTTGCGTTGTTGCTGGTGCAATACTTTGTGTGTATACATGTGTAGGAATATTTGTATTTACATATTTGATTAATCGGTGCATTCCTTAAATCTTGAAAAGCTATATGGGTAATAATTTCAATTGGAGTAACTGTAGTAACGTTTGGTTTACGAGTTCTTCGCCAACTATTACTACTTATTTGGCTTTTTCTTTGAGTATTCTGAGTAAGAATTTCCAATTGTTAAATTTCTTGGCCGTAGATCGCTGATAATATTTATAAACATGGCTTAGTATTCATTCGGGATTCAAACTCCAATCGAATGCAATAGAGCTGCCGTATACTTTATTACAAAAAAAAAAAAATCTGTATGTGATGTTGATAGTAAATGTAGTGATGATGTAGTTTACTAAATGTAAGATAATAAATGTATTTAATTTCAAGCTAGAAAAGATCAGCAACTTTACACACTTTTTATTTATAATTCAACAAACCTTATTTGAAATCATTTACATCACTTTGGCAACACTATTGTTATGCCGACCTGCGCTTGTGCACAATTCTTGCCTGCTCTATTGTCTTCCGGAGTCCAATTCTCTTTAGAGTTTACTTGAGTATTCGTTGCTGGCGTGTAGAGTATAATAATTCGCTTAAGCTGATTTTTAAACGTGAGTTACATTACTATTACCGAAGGCTACAAAAGTAAACACGTGAAAAGCGAAATAAATAAATACAATTTTGTGTGCAACTAAGAAAATTTTATTGTGTTTATTTTTATATGTATCCATATGCCTATGCAAATATTTATCTAAAAGAATGTTTGAGAGTTTGATGGAAAAGGAAATGTTTGTTGCATGACTAATTGGATCTCTGCTTGTGCACATAAATTAGTTGTAACCATTCAGAAATGCTACAAGATTTAGTTGAAATTGTTTCTAATTAAGAAAATAATAATAAAATGAAATTATAGTTTTGAATTCATGTTATTTTTTCAGGTGTGGTGTGCTACTCCTAAATCACCAAAATGAGTTACATGCCAGCGCAAAACCGTACAAGTAAGTGTATCACACTCAGTTACATATGTGATTTTAAAGAAAATATTTGGGGAAAATTTAGTATAGAACCTGTGTTTTTGGGTTGACGATTTCTGAGTTGGCAGTGGAAGGTTTACAATTACCTAAATTAATAAAAAAATATTCCCATGCCTTAGACAGAACTAACACCTTCTTCGCCTTGTACAGTAATTTTAAGTAAAATAATCTTTTTAAGTTGACTGCCTTTTTTTTTTTGCAAAATTTTTATTATATTTTTCTTTCGTATTTACTGTTGATTTTTATATATAGTAAAGGGTGATTTTTTATCACTGTCAAACATCTTCAGTTTGATCTATAATTTAACCGCGAGTGGTCTTATAAACGAACAACGTTTGCAAACTATTGAATTTTATTATCGAAATGCGTGCTCTGTCAAGAAAGTTCATCGCGCGCTTCTTGTGTTCATCGACGAAACTTATTTTTGGCTTAATGGGAACGTAAATATGCAGAATTGTCGTTTTGGTGTGAAGATCAGCCATAATCATTGCAAGAGCTACCAATGCATCCAGAAAAAGTCACAGTTTGGTGCGGTTTATGGGCTGGTGGCATCAATCGACCGTACTTCTTCAAAGATGATACGAATCAAACTTTTTTTTTTGCCAAATGTAAGAGCTTGACTTGCATGAGATGTGGTTTCAACAAGACGGTGCCACATGCCACACAGCACGGGTAACAATAGACTTATTGAGAGGCGAGTTCGGTGAACATTTTATGTCACGTTCGGGACCGGTCAATTGGCCGCCAAGATTGTACGATTGAACACCTTTAAACTATTTTTTGTGGAGCTATGCTAAATCTAATGTCTATACAGAAAAGCCCGTTTCAATTCATGCTTTGGTAGACAACGATGAAGCATTTATTCGTCATATTCCGGCCGAAATGGATTTGGAAAGAGTATGCCGAAATTGGACTAAGCGGGTGGACCAGATAAGGCACAGTCACGGTCAGCATTTGCATGAAATAAAGAGTATAATTTTAAATACTAAAGTCAAGCCCAAATCCGATTGGAAAGATAGTAATTATTATATACCAAAGTGAATGTAAAATACATATGTAAATATCTAAATACAACGTCAATGTCGGACAAAACATATTGGACCAATACTTATAACTGATTTTATCATCTACAATACTATCTGAAAGTAAGATTTTATATAAATGAAAACCAAATGTAAAATATATTGGTTCGTGCCCGATTCCGCTGGATACCGTTTGAATCGTTTGAGAGTAGCGGTCGTGAAAGAAATATATACATATTATATATCGTTGGAAAGGTGACAGTCCGAACTGTAAATCAAGCATAAAATAACTTCATTTTGATTTGAGTTGCTTAGTGAATAGACGCATGGAAGATGGACAATGAAAAAGATCATATGCGTCATATTATGTTAAACGAATTCCGCAAAGGAAAAACAGTAGGCGCTGCAACTAAAGATATTCGCGAAGTTTATTTGGACCGTGCTTCAGCACTCCGCACAGTAAAGAAATGGTTCGCGAAATTTCGTTCTGGAGATTTTAACCTCGAAGATCAACCTCGCAGTGGACGGCCTTCTGAGCTTGATGACGATGTTCTAAGGACTTTAGTTGCGAATAACTCACGTATTTCGACGGAAGAGGCTGCCAGGGAATTGAACGTCAACAAATCAACTGCGTTTCGCCATTTAAAAAAAGGTTGGGTACACTTTGAAGCTCGATACATGGGTGCCACATCAGTTGAGTGAAAAAAAACAAAGTGGACCGTATGTCAACAGCAATTTCTTTGCTTCGACGGATCAAAAACGAACCTTTTTTGGATCGGCTCGTGACTGGTGATGAAAAATGGATCCTGTACAACAATGTTCAACGCAAAAGAACATGGAAACAGGCACACGAAGGGACGGAACCGATGTCGAAAGGTGGATTGCATCCGCTGAAGCTACTGCTGTGCATTTCGTGGGATATCCGAGGCGTGATCTATTTTGAGCTCTTGCCAGCTGGAGAAACGATCACTGCCAACAAGTATTGTCAGCGATTGGTCGAATTGAAGAAAGCAATTGATGAAAAACGTCCGATTTTGGCCAATCGCAAAGGAGTTCTTTTCCACCATGGCAACGCCAGGCCACATGTTGCAAAACCGACCCTGGCCAAACTGAAGGAGATGAATTGGGAAATCATGCCGCATCCCCCATATTCACCCGACATTGCACCTTCTGATTATCATTTGTTTCCCCCATATTCACCCGACATTGCACCTTCTGATTATCATTTGTTTCGATCGCTGCAGAACAATTTGAATGGAAAAAAATTTAAAAATGTGGAAGACTTCAAAAACCACCTTGACACCTTTTTCAACGAGAAACCGCGCGATTTCTATGAATCAGGCATACGTAAATTGGTTGAACGTTGGGAGTGGATTGCCGAACATGATGGCGAATGGCGAATACATAATTGATTAATAAAAGCGCTTTCTTCAAAAAATTTCAATTTTAGTTTGCACTTGAATCGGGCACGAACTTATGCACTCATCCAATATTTGAACCTAATTATGGAAAATATGCCTGGACAACAAAAAAAGCTGAATGAAAACGTTATCTTACAAATTAAAGGGCTGTTTTTTAGTCTCAAAAACTTCCTAAAATACGGCTTTTTTCACTTTTTTCTTCATCTTCAATGAATTCCAGGCCTAAAATAGGCCTTGATTTTTTTGGTTTTTAATTGTTTCTCAAACTTTTAACACAAAATCAAACAGCAGATATTTTTGTTACCTCCAATTTCGCTGGTAACAAAATTTACAGGGTGACAGTGAACTCAGAATACGAAATGGTAACAAAATTTACTCGACAGAATAGGCCTGTTAATTAGTCTTTTAACTACTAAAAAATAAAAATTAAACTGGTTTTGGCAAGCAACGACATAATTTTTTTTGTTCAACTGATTTTAGTGCTTGTCCGCGCTACTAAGATTATGACCGCAGCTGTATGTATGTATGTATGCATGCATAGGTTTTCAAAGAAAAATATTTTATATTTTATATCCCAAATCGAGTGGCTGCTTGGATGCATACAAAAGTACAAAAGTGCAATAGGAAGAACATTACGAGTCCTTATGATTCGTATGTGTTTGTATATATGTATGTATGGGCATATGCATATTTACGCTTGTTAAAATTGCATACTCAGATTTTTGACGCTGTTTGCTGACACACTCTTTTTTTTTTTAATTTCTTAGACTTGCCTTGACTGAGATGCAGAGCATGAATTCTGGTATATGCACATACATACATATATTTATATATACGTGTATGTATTTGTGTATGCACTTTGTATGCACCACCCTCTATTTGCGTTCGATGGGATATTTGTGCCAATACTTTATTTCAAAGGCAATTGATGTGAATTTTGCCGGCGGGCATTTTAAATTAACCACTGTCAATGGGCGAAATGCATGCGCACGCACGCGTCCGATTCTCCAATGGTTCTAAGCACATTCATACAAACGCCTGTAATAATGTAGTATGTAGTGTGTATGTATGTACAAATATATTTGCATATGAATCTAGAAGTGCTTTTGGATGGCATATGTCGGTTGGAAGTTTTTCTTTATTACCAAGCTACCATTAAGCCAGTTGAAGTGACTCTTATAATGCTGTAATTTGATGAAAGCAGCGTATTGGCAGCCACAACAACAAAAACAACTAGAGTATACAAAGAAAACTTATGCTAACATATTACATTGCTCTTTACTTTTATGTTAGCCATTCACACTCTACATATGCATCACCATTTGCTTCTTTACTGCCTTTTCTTTATTATTATTTTTTTTTTTTTGATGGACCTTCTTTTTACAAGCATTTACAGACCCTGCAGGGAAAATGACTAGTTGTTGACTAAAAGCCAACTAATTTGAATCACCTTAAAGCTGTTTGCCATGTAAGCGAATGGTATTTTTAGCAGGGCGATGTTGTCCCACGAACTGTCAATTGTTCGACTATGCATCAGCTTTATACTAGTTGTATACCAGTTCATTTGAACATTCTGAAATTTTACTTTAACAAAAAAAAAAAAAATTAATAATGATAAAAATAAAAATTGAAATAAGTTGTAAAAAAGTAAAAGCTCTAACTAACTGCTAGGCTATCGATGGGATGCAAAAAGCAACACGATTAACTCACTTCATTCATGGCGTACTAAAAATAACAAGAGCATACGAGTGGCGTTGTGGTGAAAATTTCTTCTTCCACAAAAATAAAGAAGAAAAAAAAATAATTCTACCGGCAGCGTGGCTCGAACCGTAAACCTAAGACGCTATAGCGATAACTACTAACTCCTCAACTATCGTTGCGATGTAGCGATGTACGTCATTTTATGCACTTCAACAGAATATGTTTGAGAATGGAACTCACCCTTGGTGTGGTGGTAGATATAACAACAACAAACGGTAGGGGAAATTATCACTGATGAACTGCCAATTGGTATGATTTCATCATTAAAACACTGGTATTTAACTAGAATTGTTTTAAAATTTGTACGTCGTAATGCTTTTTATGTAACTACGAGCTGTTTTCAAAAAATATCGCGAATTTTGTGTTTTTTTCAAAAATTATCAGGTGTACAACTTTGCTTCCGCCGTTTTTTTTTTCAAAATTAAAAGCTTTATTGCGAAAAAGTGCTTACAGATATATTATTCAAAGTATTGTCCTTCGCTAGCGACAACTTTCTCCCATATTTACAGCAATTTTCGGATCCCGGCTCGAAAAAAGGAGTCCTCTTTTGACGCTCTCCATGAAACAATCCATAAACGGACATTTTCGAGCGTGAATAATACAAAAACAAGAACAACTGTCACTGAAACGGCGATTACAATTCGTTAGGCACTGTCCACACTCACTTTAAAGGCATTATCATCTATGTATTTCAAGCAGCCTCAGACGGTACAGCCACCTAACCGAAAACGGCGGAAGCAAATTCATGAATATCTATTTT